AAATAAATGGAAGCAGAGAATCCAGCGAGGGTGAAATGAAGTTCTGCAGAAAAGGCCACATGGAACGGGCACGTTAAATATAGATTGTGTGACTTTTCAGCCAAGCGTTGCTGCGTGGGGCAAGAAGACCCTGTGGATCATTTAAACCAAAACTATTCCAATAAATAACAGATTAAAAGTAGGTCCCATTTACCAAAAAAACATCTTGAAATGTGGGAGTCAGACTTTGCTGAATCTTCTGGGTGGAGATGAGGGCCTACAGCTAGGTTACTATATATTTGTAACTTCTGGAAGGGGCTCAGGAATGGATGTTTGGGCTGGAGGTAGGGCTGGAGGTAGAGCTGGAGGCCACTGGTGTCCACCATGGGAGGAGGAGAAGAAGAGTAGGAAGAGATTGGCTGTTACGGCGCTGTCCAGCCCCTCTGGAGTCAAGGAGGACCACCGTCTCTTGCTCAAACCATATGCCTCCACTTGACCTCTTCTACACCCAAAGTCAACATTGGCAGCTCATATCGTGGTGTTGATCTGCCAGCAGAAGATCTCGCCATTTGGTCTCTTGCTCCACTGTTCCCTGTGGGGTAACACGGCAATTGACACCTCTTACATCACTGACCTCTTGGTCATCTTGCATTTTCTCTTTTGAGAAGGTCTTGAGCAATGGGGGTGGGGTGGGGATGCCCTGGAGCTCAACTCCCCAAGGGGCTGCGCGCCAAAAAGATGTTGCAACTTGGGTCTGCCCATGATCCATATTTACACCTGTTCCTCATAGCAATGGGGGTATGTGTGTGTTGGAGGTGTGGCTGGAACAGCTTCAAGGGTGTTCTGAGATGGTTCTGAAGTATGTTAGTAATGGAGTTGTTAGTGTTACTCACTAAATTCAGAGTCACAACCCATGATTAAGAGTTTGATCAGCCTCTTTGTAGGGAAGGTAGATCATTCCCCCCTCCAGAGCGTTAAATGCCAGCCCTTTGCATCTCGAACACGCTTGGAGGCTGATAGACTTCAGGCTAGGCATAGCTACAACTCTCTACTCTTCAGAAACTCACTTCTAATTTGGGAACAAAGTTATTCCAGGGAATCTTCATGCTTGAGATGTCTGCGTATGCCAAAGTCTAGGCCGTTTTCTTCTTCGGCTATTCTCGTCCAAGCTTTTTCAAGGTTTCTGTCATGATTGTGTCTAGGCCCAGAATTCCTGCTCGATTTCAGCTTCAACCCTTGCCGCGGTTTTGTATTGGAGTCTTCTGTGGCTGTGGGGTTTGCTCATGGGTAGAACGCAGCGACCGGACCCCGTGCGTTAAGCCATAACATGGTTTCTCTGGTCTTGGTTGAACAGAATTGCCAAGCTAGTCGTTGCGACTTAGACAATCGATCATGGCCTCGTTGCTAAAGCCAGGCAGGCCGGATCTGAGGACGACCTCTTGGCACGGCCAGGAGGTGAGGTTCATTCTCCGGATTCCCGTCTGGTGTCAAAATGTGCAACGAAGCCTGAAGGACCTGTTTGGGGCTGTGTGTGCGCAACCGTTCCTGTCCTTTGAGTGTTGCTGGTTCTCCCTCGAGGGAGACCTGCGATCTCCCAGTATCTTGAGGGTAGTCCTGGGGAAAGCACCTTCCTCCTTGCCACCAGATGGGTTGGCCAACTTCAAAGCAGAAGGGGAGGACGTGGTGTTTTCCCTCCTGCTTTCTAGACTCAGTTTGGGGGAGTCGGTTGGGCAACATCTCGCTTTGTGCAATTCACCTCCAACCTGTTGTGGGAATTAGCAGGGAGAAGCAACGCTGCAATTTAGGCCCTGTAGGAAGAAGAACATGGTGGATGCTTTTGATGCCTTTTGGTGGTCTGAACTGATGCAACTTTTGCTTTCTTGATAACTTGGTAACTTTCTCCTTCTCTTCCCTCTCTTCCTCTTCCTGTTCCTTCCTTCCTTCCTGTTCCTCATCTCCTTCCTTCCTTCCTTCCTTCCTTCCTTCCTTCCTTCCTTCCTTCCTTCCTTCCT